ATTGCGAGAGAAAAAGTCCGACTTGTGAGAAAAACATTACAATTAAGTTTTTTTTTTTTTTTATCTGTTGTGGAAAAAAACTATTGTGAGAGAAAATCTATTTGCAATTTGCGAGAAAAACAACTGTAAGATACAAAAAAATGCAATTATCTTTTTTATTTTTAATCTGTGGCAGGATTAAAAACAGAATTTTTTTACAGAAAAACAGAAAATTTAAAAGAAAAAAATCTGAATTGCTAGATACAAACTCAGAATTGTGAGAAAAAAGCAATCTTGCAATTTTGTTTCTAGCAATTAAGAATTGCGAGATATGAAGTCCAAATTGTTATATAAAAAGTCAAAAAAATATATTTTACTTTAAACAGACTTCAATAGTAAATCATCTAAAAATCAAACATCATGTGTGAGAGCAAAGCATTTATTACTCATTACGTATAGTGCATTCAAATAAACATGACATCACATCCTGTCTCTCATATTTGCTGCAGGCCCCAAAATAATTACTTCAGAAAATATTTTCTGACGAAATGTGTTCTTTGCAAGCAAAAAGCAAACTGTGAATATATAATTAAATACTTCATCAGTCACCAATAGTTTCAGAGGGTCTCGAAAGTATTAAAGAGACATTTTTCTGTTTCCTGCAGAGATTTCTAACACAGATTGATCAATCACATGTCATTTACAACTCAATGAAACCTGTCTGTGAAATTGTTCATGAAGCGATACTCTCCAGAAGGTCCTGCATTGAGATGAATGGGAACATCATCACCTCTGACCTCAGGTCTCTCTCATGTAAGGCACAAATCAATGCAAACACATTATATCTCATTAATGCAGTTAAACACATGAGCAGCTCAACCTCTGTGTTAATAATGTCAGTCTGATGTGATGCTGTGGAGGTTTTACTGATTCACTGGTGAACGTGATCCGGTGAAAAGAGTTCAGCCCGGCTCGTGTCGCTTCCTCCTCAATGAAAACACACTCACACACACACACACACACACACAC